GCTTCCTGGAGCCGACTTACGGTTCTGGGGGCGAGGCGGTGGACCCAGGACCCCTCCCAAGAAGTCCACAGGGCACACGGGCGAGGATTTACTGCCCACCTCATGGCGCCCACCGGCTCCCGTTACCCTGCAGGATTCTCCTGGCAAGTCTGCTTGATTTTCCCGCTTTAGGAAGTTACCTGGAGGCCAGAACTTACCAGGAGCAAGGGGCCCTGTTTGTCTTAGGAGGAAGCTGTGACTCAGAAAGGACATGGAATGTGTCCACAGTCACACCTCTGGCCAGTGGAGCAATCAGGTAGGAATCGGGTCCCTGCCTGAGTCCAGGTGGCCCGATCTTTTTCGCTTTCAGAGCACAAGGCCTGGCTCACCTCTGCATCCTCTGTCTGGTCAGAGCCCACCGTCTCCTTCCCTGAGGGTTATTTGGCAAACCCCAGCCAGATGCTTGTCCGTCCTTCCCTGCCCGTGCCAAGGGTGCCAGGAAAAATCCCGGAGTCCTGCAAACAGGGCCCTGCCTGGACTTGCACTGGGGCCTCCAGGCCCTGGACAGCCTTGGGTGCTGCCTCTCCTCCTGCCCCATCTCGTGGGCTCTGGCTTTGCTCCCTCCCGCCCATCCACGGCCTCGAAGCAGGAGGGACGTTACAGAGGCGAGCTGGATCGTGCCTTGGCCCTGGGGATGAAGTCCGGGCCCCTCTGCGCTCTGTTGCCCCGCTGGCCCCCTGCTCAGCTCTGACGCCACATCAGCTGGAACCCTGCCCTGACCCCCCTGCCCTGTGCTCCACGCTGTATGTCACCCATCACACCTGAGTGTCCATCGGAGGGCTCTGCACAGGCAGAAACGTGCCCTTCTCTATGCCCACAGGACACCCGTGCCCGAGCCGTGCGTGACGCTGCTTTGCTAAGGGGACCTCACATCCAGCACAGAGGATGAGAAGACGGCGGCACTGGAGCCACAGCCATTCGGGGGTCGGGAGGTGGCTGAGGGACAGAGGAACCCACAGCGTCCAGGCCCAGCTCTGCCACTGACACTGAGGGGCCCCGTAGCCCAGCGTCCTGCTGCCCAGTAGGGGTACGCCAGCCTCTGCTCCAGGGGTGACTAAGGCTGGGCACTCGTCAGCTCTGAAATCACCTCGGGCTCCATGGGACTGGGGTGCAGACCCCGGAAGCTTGGGGTGCCCCGGGGACACACAAGGTCCAGAAGGTGCTCTTCAGAGAGGCTCTGGGTCCCCTTCTTGAAGCGATGGGAGTTGTCTGGACCCTCTGGGGCCTCCCCCATGGCGACTGGACCAGGCAGAGGCCGGGCGAGCTCCATGCCCAGGTGAGGGGGGCCAACTGCCGGCTGGCTTGGCCTGGGCTCTTCACTCTCTCTGCCTGTAGCCCAGGGCCTCTGCCCACCTCCCTCTCCGCCCCTTTCCAGGGCCTTCCTCACTGGCTTCCTAATTGCCTTCTCTGGGTCAGGTCACAGGTGGCAGGCGGAGAGCCCAGCTGGGCCGGGCCGGCACCTTCTCCAGGCCCACAGGTTGTGCTGCGGCCCTCGTGCGGGAGTCCCACCTGTGCGCCCAGGTCACTTGGGAGCCCGGAGCCTTCTGGGAGCCAGCTGTGGAGAGGCAGGAGTCATGGGAAATGAGGTGTTTCCAGACATCAAGCTTCAGACCCACTGATGATAGGGTTCTCCAGAGAGACAGACAATCAGAATACATAGGAAGAGATTTATTATGAGGTACCAGCTCACATGATCGTGAAGGCTGGGAAGCCCCACGTCCACTGTCTGCACGCTACAGACCCAGAAAGCCTATTTGCTGGTGGAATCCAGTCCAATCCTGGAGGCCTGAGAACCTGGGGAGCTGGTGGTGTAAATCCCAGTCCAGGGGCCGGAAATGTTGAGGTGGGCTGTCCCAGCTCAAGCAGGTGGGCAGGAAGAGAAAAGGTAAATCCCTCCCTTCTGCATCTTT